TTTACAATGGCCGCAAAGTACCTTCACCCTCCTCTTGACATTCCTGATGCCATCCAGCCTGCTTCGCCTGGCAGCTCAGTGTCCTGACCAGAGCACAGCTCCTGCGGATGAGGCTGCTGCCACCCTGAACCTCTGAGAAGCTCCAGTCACTCCCTGCAGCCTGCATCTGGACAGCCACAGCCTCCCCAGGGCTGTCTGGGTTGAGGTCTCCAGTATGCTGTGGTAGATGCTCTGGCTAGCACTAGGGACTGCGTCATGTGGCTTGTCACCGCATCCTCCACTGGTCTCAAGCACCGCCTACGGTGTTACTGCTCCCCCTCTTCCCTTGACTCCTTCCTGTTCGCACAAGCTGCTCACAGCGGTCCTTAGGTGTGAAGGAAAAGACGAACACAAGCCTGCTGTGCTCCCCGTGCTCAGCAGGCAGCTGCTTCGCAACCTCCCAGTTCTTCGCTGCATTTCTCCCACCTTGCGCACGCGGCTCCCCCTGGCAGGCTGCTTCCCCACGCACCAGCAGAGCTGGACACACACCTGCTTCATCCCCACTAGATTTCCTGCTCCGGGTGCGACTCCTCCTACTGCTTTCGGTTCCCAGCTGCGGTCCATTCTGCTCACAAGCATCAAGTCTGCATTTTTTCCTCCTGCCCTGTGCTTACAGAAGCTTTAAAAAGCGTTTTTTTGAGCTTACACAGCATTCTGTTCCTCTAGGTCAAATGACACACTTGGGCAAAAACTGAAAGCAAACGTTCAGTTCATGGAACAAAGCAAAGGTTCCCTCAAAGAGCCTTTCAGTTATACACCCCACTGTGCTGTGATCTCGCTGCTGCTCCTTAAGTGCTACACCAAGACAACACTGGAAGACTGCACTAGTAAAAAAGAATGACGTTCCACCCTCTTTCTGTACTTAAGGGCTCATTATTCACTTACTGGACATTTCCCCCAAAAGGACTGGACTTGGCTGACAAAGGCAATTCATTTCGAGACCTGGGAGAGAACAGTTTGAGGCACTTCTCTGAACAGTACCTATATTTTGCCCTCTGAAACATTAAAGAGAATAAATGATTTGGGAAAAGTTACGCAAGAAGTTTTGAACTGTGATTGACTTTAAGACATCATGGACATATTCCAAAGAAATGACACAGCATACACTCAAGGACAGCTAAATGCATTTTTCCTATTATTCTGTATTTTTTTTTTTTTTAAATTAAAATCACCACAGCAACAAATTTTAGTACCCCAGCAGCCCGAAACCAGAAGTTGTGTGCTAGAGGTCACTGGGCTTCTGGGCTTTTTTTTTTTTTTTCCTTCTCATTTTTATTGGTATAATTTAATACCATTTGTGATACATAAATGAACTGACACTTTTTGATGTTCACTGCAGTTCCATCAGAGGTTCAATCTTTGGGTAACTCAATGACCGTGAATAGCCCAGTTCCTTTTTTTTTTTTTTTTGTAGAAATCAAGACAGTGATATGTTGCAAGTTACGTTTTTGCAATAGCGCACTCATTACAGCTAGCCTGTAGCGGATTTAGCTTCAAGATGGAGGAGATCACTTACAGATCCACCAAAACTGCATCTCTTACGGTTCCATTCAACTCCCCTCGTGGCTCTGCCTTACAGGGAACAAGCTCAAACCAAAAAGACCGACCAAAAAGATGCACCTGGCATTTCCCGAAACGAACACGAAGCACTGCAGGCATCTTGCTG